GGAAATGTAGTGAGAACAAAACTTCAAGGTGGGCTGGTGAACTTATTTGCGTCCCCTACCAAACACATGCCCTGCATAATCAATTCTTCACATTTAGGCAATAATGAAGGTTTAAAAACACAAACCTGATCAAGTCATCTCTTATTTAAAACCCTTGTGAGGATTTCATAAAAAACTCCTTAAAATGATATACATGTCCCTTTATGCTCTTACTCATCTCTGCAACCTCATCTTGCAACAGACTTACCCTCAGCATTTGTCCTTCATCTACACTGGCATCTGTGCATTCCTTCCGGTATGCCACATTCCCCTTGCCACAGGACCATTGTACATGCTGCCCCATCTGCCTGAACATTGTTCCCTATCCTCTGTGAAAAGTTGGCTTTTTATCTTAAATCAAGCATCCCTTCTTCAAGGAAGCTCTCCTTGCCCTCCCTGACCAGCCAGTCTCTCAAAGAGCCCTGTGCACCTCTTCTTTAGTACATCTGCAGGAATTGCCATTGCACAATGGTTTGTGTGGTCACTTGATTAATTTCTATCTCCTCCACTAGTCACACAGCTCCATTCAATGGTTACATTAGGCCTGCATGAGAGTTTTATCCCTGGGGCTTTGTTCAGTGCTAATCATATCATAGGCACTCAGTAAACATTTGCTGGAGAAAGGAGGAAGGGAAAGAAGCAAGGAAGGAGGAAAGGAATGGAGAAAGAAGGAAGGGAGAAAAGAATAGAGGAGGATAATAAATAAATACATTTATTAAAGGCCTCAACAGTCTTCTCTAAAAATATGCATTAGTAAACTTACAGTTTGCTGTCTGGTTCTACTTGAAAGACAAGCATTTGGAAGAGTGGATTTTTTTTTCTGGTTTTCAGAATGGACTAAGAGTTCTGTTTCAAATACTATAAAACCACTGAGTGTGGTTGACAAGGAAGAGCTTGTTAAAATTGGTAGTTAAGGAAAGTCCTTACCTGTTTAGTTAAGCTTTATTCTGTGATGATAATGAAGATGATGGTGATGAAGATGAGTATATAAAATTTCTTTTGATGATCCTTCCTAAATTCTTTGTATGTATATATCTTCTGTGTGTATCTGTGTATATGAAGAAAGGATAACTTTTCCACCAACCATAATCATTTAGCACCAACCTAAAAACCTTGTGAAGAAGAAGAAATTCTTGGTCAATCTGACAGTTGCTTCTGTTTAGTAAAGAGAATGATTTGTCAAGAACAAGGATCATATGTGAATAATGATCTAATAATTTTACCTTCTTTTCCAAGTTGCATTTTGGCAAAACAAGCTCTTCCTCTAGGGTGTTAGTTGGCTATTAAAGTATTTTATCCCCAGGTACTACCTATGGCATTGGAGTTTGAATTAGGACTGTTTGCCAGGTTAGAATTCCTAACCTGACTTTACCACTTAGCAGCTATGTGACCTTGGCCAAGCTATTTAACCTATTTGAAACTCAGTTCTCCCATCTTTAAAATGAATATAATAATTTCAAGTCAGGGGGCTGTGATGAGTGCTATGTGAAATGATATGTAGAAAACCAGGTGCAGAGTGGATGCTTAAAAGTTGCCCCCCTTTTCCTGTCTGAATTCTGTTTTCTGAACGTATTTTCTTCCTTCATAGCTTCTGCAAGAAGTGATGTGGTTCTTTAATTTTTACTCCATGGTGCCAGATGAGTTACCTTTTGCACCATGAAAGGGAAAAAATAACATTAGTAGTCTTTCTTTAATTGACCCTCCTGAGAGAGATCAAATGCCAGAGCTGAGTTTTAGGAGCAGCTTCAAATACAAGGGGCGGAAGTTAGATATTAAATTCTTATGAATACAGAGAAAGGAGAATTCTCCATGACGCAAGGCAACTTTTGATGAGTGGTCTAATGCAACATCTCTGAGAATAACTGCATCATTTTGGTTCCTGTCTAGCTAAGGAAAAGGGGACACAGAGCTTCTCTGACTTCTCCCTCCCTTCAGTCATACCTTCTTCCTCTCCTTTCTGGAAGCTGCCAGAGAGGGTTCCCTAGTACCAGTCAGAATATGTAGAGAAACAGTGCCTTTCTTCTTTTACCATTTTGACTCTTCCTCCAGGATTATTCCTGCAGAGACCTCTCAGAGAGACTCTTCTCTTATTTGTCAAGCTGTGTCTAACCCTTATGAAATAGATTAATGCCACTTTGTGACCCATTTCATTTATGTTTCTCCTCTCAATCAGAAGCACCATAATTCTCCAAATTGAATTTTAAATGAGATCCTGTTCATTGACCACAGGGACAGTGAATATATGCATAAATTGAATCAAACCTCTTTTCTCAAGTAATTTGTCTTCACTCTAGCCTGAAATTGTCCTTTAAATCTGGGTAACAGTCTTAATTCAGACTTCAACTTGATAGTGCCTGGGGATTAAATTACTTAATGGTCAGAGAGAGAAGTTTATTTTGTAAAAGTAAAATGAAGGGAAGGGAGATGAAGTCATTATATTATTGTCTACTAGTGGTCAGGAGAGGAGTTGCTTGGGTCAGGTCTGGATTGTATGGGCAACTTCTTGAAGGTTAGACATGAGATCTCTGCAGAATACTTGCATATTTCATTCTCTGCTCTAAGAACCTGTTAAGTTAGTGAACATTATTACCCCCATCTATTTTATAGATGAGCTCTGAACAGAGGTCAGAGAGATTAAATTCTTTGATATTACTTATAGTTATTAAGTGATGGAGACACAATTTTAATAGCTGTTTTTCCCTAGAGCCCAAGATTCTATCTGACCATTATATTATAATGTGAGGTAGCATTTCTTAAAAGTATTCATTTGTGGAGACATAAATAAAATGATAGCTAACAGTACCAGATGATTTGGGACAAATATAAAACAAGCAGAGCAATTCATAAACCCTGAGGGCATCTCTGATGAGGCTCTGTTCAGATGGCAACCTATGGCACCAGACTCTGGGGCCTTGTCTAAAGGTCACTAGGATAATTAAAGTCTGTCTCCCATTTCGATTTGCCATACCAGTGAAGGCCGATGAAACTGCAAATCAAATAAAAATCTTGGAGCCCACTCATACTTTTGTCCCAACATCAAAAGTGTTCTTTTCAGTTTATTTACCAAAAGAGTTCCTTAACACGAAAGCTTTCAGAACTTGTCTTATGGAAGTCTCTTGTCATCAAGGAAGACTTTAAGATGGCATATTTGGAACATCATAAAAAGTCTTCAGTTGTTTCTCCTTCTACTTTTAAAGCTTCAGTCATTCATGTATTTAACATCTCTTTATTGATTGATTACTGTATCCAGCCACCATAAATGCAGCCCTCCTCACTTGACCTGATCATTATTCTGATCACCATCTATTCTGTGGCAGACTCTAATACCTCTGTAAAATTGGCCAGTACATCTGCCACTAACTCCTTCCACACTTTATAGAAAAGTAGATACTATAATTCAAAGATAAACCAGTTACTGGAGTTTCTTAGTGCATCTTTAAAATAGAGGCAGATACAAACAAATAGCTTAGACTTGATGAAATATCAGATGTCTTCTAAGGTTCTTTAATTCAACAGCTCTGGTTTCAGCTACACTCAGCAAAGTTATGAATTCTTTCAGGTTTGAGGTCCTTAGGGTTTTCATTTTGGAAATAAACAGCTTGGATACATTTTTTTCCAGTACTATGATTTATCCAAGCACCTGCTCTACTTTGCTCCAAAGTATCTCCATGAGGGAGCTGCATCTTCCAAATCCCCAATGATTTTGAGAAAGTCATACTTTTTCTCATTGGAGGATGTAGTAGCTTAGGAGAATTAGGAGTCTGGGATAAGCATTTGACCTGCCTCTCTTTTCCTTCATGGGAGGCAGTGTTGGGTGGATGGGGAAGCAGGGGACAGGGTGGTGAGGAGCATGAGTCCTGCTGCAGACCATTCTGGACTGAATCATGACATCTTTCTTGATGTATGACCTGAGGCAAGTTATTTAACCTCAGTTTCTTCATCAGAAAATGAAGCTAAGAGTAAGATTTACATGAGATGAGGAAAGCTAGAGGCAAGAACACTTGGGGCTCACTTGGAATAAAGCCCAGATCATAGGGAGCAGACAATAGCTAATAGCTCTTTCTTTTTCTTTTTCTTTTTTTTTTTTTTTTAGACGGAGTCTCACTTTGTCACCAGGCTGGAGTGGTGCAGTGGCGTGATCTTGGCTCACTGCAGCCTCTACCTCCTGGGTTCAAGTGATTCTTCTGCCTCAGCCTCCTGAGTAGCTGGTACTACAGGCATGTGCCACCACGCCCAGCTATTTTTTGTATTTTCAGTAGAGACGGGATTTCACCATGCTGGCCAGGATGGTCTCGATCTCTTGACCTCGTGATCTGCCCGCCTTGGCCTCCCAAAGTGCTGGGATTACAGGTGTGAGCCACCATGCCCAGCCAGCTCTTTCTTTGTCAGTCAAGCAAGCAGTGAGTCAACTATTGTCTCCATGTTTGGGAACCTGTGAATCTAAGGCTAAACCTACAACTGGGGCTTCACTGGGCATGCTGGATCCAAGCAGAGGGAGCTGGAGGGCTTGTGGAGGGGAATAGGAAAGGGCTTAGGCTGTGGCTTCTGCTTCAAGCCAGTGGGAATAATAAGAGTATATGACCCTATTTCCAGAATAGAAAGATAATTCTTTTCTCTTCTTTTCTGTATTTATTCAAGCAATTCAACATATTGCTTCCCTCTTTGCTCCCATTCTCTTCCTCCTCTCTCATCATTCTGTCTTTTCATTCCTCCTTCCCATCCTTTCCTCTTTTTTCTCTCCTCTAGTCTTTCCTCCCTTTGATGTGAATTCTAGCCTTGGAGTAGGAAAACACCTTGGCATGGTAGAGGAGGTGAAGGACAAATGGGAGATAAATACTTCGCAGAGGAAGAGTCTAGTTTGGCTTTCTTTCCTTTTGACCTCAAGCCATGCATCTCTCATTGCTGGGAAAAGGCCAGATAGGCTTGTGACTTGTTGATAAAGAATGGAAGAAAAATCATGTTGGCAGGAGGTAGGCTGCACTGCATCCAAATGAGCAGGGCCTCACCATGGAAGGCCTGAAGGGGAAACATAAACTATTCCAATGGAAGCTGCAGAGCAGGCTTGAGCTTTAGAACTGAGAAGAGGAAGAACCACTCTGTGGTCAGCCCCAGCCTGAAGGGAAGTTATAACATCCAGCTTCCTTCTGTTCCAGGTTGGTAGTGGATGGGACACCTGGCTGGGGTGGGGAAGGGAATCGTGTTACCTCAAGAGCTGAAGTGGAGAGGGCTTCAGAGAGAGCTTAGAGGCTTGCCTGTCAAGAGAAGCACTGGAATTCACAAACTTTGTCTCTGCCTGTTGCGGTTTCTAGTGGAAAAAATAAAAACCCACAAAATGTAGCTTCATCAACTAATCTCCAACCTTGCTCCCAATCAATATCCAGGTTCAGACAGATATTAAAATAAGCACTTCCATTGTGTATTGAGAGCAGCTATTTAATAGAATAGCTGTGCCTGATGACAGGGACAGAAATAGGGAGAAAGCAGTGATTACTAGGCAGTATGAGCATCTTGTGCTAATCTGTTCCCATTTCATCTTCCTGCATGTTATCTCTTTGATTCTCAAAACAACCATGGGTTGACAGAGCACTGTGTAAATAGGAAGACAAATATACATACACAATACATACACAAATACATAGTCACAATCTGACAAAACTAGACCCCTTGGGAAACAGACTTTACAATTCCATAGATGTCAGAAGTGACGTTAGGCATTCTCCACAATTTCTCAGTCTAAGCAGGATGTTTTCTGCAATAACCTGGGTGAGTGAGCATCCCACTCTTTCCTAAATATCCCCATTAACAAGAATCTCATTGTGTGTGTGTGTGTGTGTGTGTGTGTGTGTGTTGTTGCAGCCCATTTTATTGTTAGTAGCTCTAGAGCATTTAACCATACCATTGGGTTCCTGCTTTTCTATATTTCCAGGCAAAGTGGTGATGGCCGAAATCAACCCTTTATCCTTTTATCATTACTAATCCCATTTAGTTTAGATCTTGGGTGTCTAATTCCAACAGCAATGTTTCTCCTGAATCCCTCCCTCAACTTTCTTACTTTTCAGCAATGTCACCACCGTCACCACCATTGACTCCAGCTTCATATTGGTGGGACTCGTTCCAGAAGAATGGCTGTACCTTGAGTATTGCTGCTGCCTTCCTTAGAGCTACTGTTCCACTGAATGACACAATTGTTTCTGTGACAATTAATTTGGTGTTTTTCCTCCATAATCATTCTTTACTCCACAAAAGATACCTTGTTTTTCTGCTTTATAACTTTCTATAGGAGTTTATACTGTGTTTACAGAGAAGGGGTTGGAGGTATTCTGGTGAGGGGTACCATCTTAGGTTGGATACTCAGTTTTTGTTACCTATACCACAACTGTGTATCAAGACAAGGCACAGTGTTCTTAATCTTCCCACCCTCCTGGGCTGGCTTTGCCTTCTTAATTCACTTGTAGGAGTTGAATGAGTCTTCATCTCTTCTTTAGCCAAAGATCTTTTAGTCCATAGTGCCCAGTATGTTCATCCGTTTTTGGTCCCTTTAAATGATCTTACTCTATACAAACAGAAGAAAAGGAAAAAAGCTGGAAAAGTTAGCCCACCAGAGCAATTTGTTCAGATTCCCCCATTGTAACCTTGAGCTCCTCCTAACTCCTCAACTCTCTCCTGGTTCTCTTGCCTAGAAGATACTTTGGGTGTGTTTCTCTAACACTGTATTTCAGATAAAATTCTGAGAATGACCTACCTAACTTTATACCAGAGAAGACTGAAAGGCAAACCCTTTTCCTTTAGTCCTGTCTGAGGATTCTGGTGATCCAGTCAGGCCCTCCTGCCTTTTCCCTAGGAAAAACAAAAACAACCCCCCTCTCCTACCAAAAACAAAACAAAACAAAACAAAACAAAAAAAAAACCAAAAACAAACAAACAAAAAAAGGGCTCAGAACCTAAGCTTTAACTCCAGAGATCCCTTTGCTATTTCTCCACTGGTCAGTGGAAACATGAATTAGGCTCAAAGTAGACTTTCTTCATGGATATAAAGGCAAAACCTGGTAATACCATTGGTCTTGCTTCTGCCTCATGGAACAACACAAACATGCCACCTCTCAGGTATTAAGGTATTGGGCAAAAAACAAGAGTTAGGGCAAATTCAACCATGCCTAAGGCGATTCATGTTTGCCATAATGAGTTACTCAATAGCATTTCGTCATACACTGTAGTCCCCTATTGGAATTTAAAGACAATGTGAAGAACACTGAATGGTTTTGTATTCAGAAAAAGGTTTGCTTCCATTGCACTGATAGTTAGAAGGCTCACCTCTGGCAGAGACATTTATGGCTGACTGAATTTCCACAGGTTTGTCTCAGCTCCCTTACCCGCATTGTTTTTTGACTTTCTTTGCAATGAGGAGAGGTCAAGTGACTCTGGACAAGGGCTGTAAATCTGAGTAATGCATATCACCTCTGGACCAAAGCATCCAAGAGTCTGTATGGAGATTGCCTGGATCCTGAGTCACTGCCATGGCCAGCTTCCCCAGAGTCACTCAACTTGCTGGAAGCAGACTTTACAAGCACAAGAAGCAAATCTTTGTTTTACCATATCACTGAGATTTCAGGCCTACTTTGCTGGCACAACAAAGCCTAGTCACCATGACTGGTATGGCATCTTTGTAATAGTCCTTAAAAAATGTTCACTTGCCTTGTGTAATTGTAGTTATGTTCTCTGGAGCCCCACAGCATGCTTCCTAAAAAGGAACGTCAAACCCATCAAAAATCTTTTCTTTAAAAGCAAAGAACAAGGGGATAACATACATACGGGCAGCCAGGTTATTCAGGGTTAAGTAGAACCACTGAGTACTTAGAGGCCTGAATCTAGAAGCCTCTTTTTCTCCCACTGCCCTTGCCATATACTCTTGTTCATCTGAGCTGCTGCAGCAAAAGGCAAGCTTAGGAGAGAAAGAGCATATCCTTAATTCCTGGACATGCTGAACCAAGGCCGCTGAAAGTAATGAGAATGCTACATGCTTGATATGGGATCTGGGTTTTAAAATCTAACAGACACATATTTTCTGTGGAGACTTTGTGGCTGCAGCCAGGCTTCAGGTCTCAAGCCCTATTTTGCTTCCCATCAGAAACTACTCTTGAGCGAGAGCTAGACAACTACTGAATTTTCTACTCTTTCTAATCTTCCCTCTTCTCTCCTCTCCTCAGGAAGATTTATCAGGCTGTGTTTCTAGTGCTCCCATTAACAAATTTTGATAGCTTCTCTAGGGAGGGAAAGAAAACCAATGTTTATTTAGCATCTAACACAGGCCACAAAATGTGCTAGTCACTTTTTTTTTTTTTTAATATGCCCTCTCATTCTTAATAGGTAGTACAGTGAGAGCCAGGTAATACAGATTAGAAGGAACAAGGACTTTGGAGTCTCAGAAATGTTGGTTCAGAACCACAGCTCTGTACTAGTGCTGTGACCCAGAGCTAATCTCCCTGAACCTATTGCCATAACTCTCAAAGGAGCTAATCCTACCTCATATGCCACTATTGTGAGGATGAGGTACTTGGTGAAATTGTGTGCTGCTGTCCCTCGCACATACTAGGGACTCAATAGCAAGCTCCTTAACATGCTAATGAGAAAGATCTTGCTTCCATTTTGCAGATGAATTATGGCTCATAGACAGTAAATAACTTAGCCTAAGTCATGTCATGGGAGAACTGGATGCCAAATTCAGGTCTATCTGATTCTGATTTCAGTGCTATGATGGCAGAGTTAAATAGTTATGACAGAGATGGTATAGCTACATATTCAAAATATTTACTGTCTAGCCCTTTAAAGAACTAGTTTGCCATATTCAGAATTGAAAGAAAGAGTATAGGATCTTTGCATATTAAAGAATTCTCATGCATAGAAAACATTCATCAAGGACTCCACACTAGTAAAATTATGTTTGTGGCAGAGAAAAAAAAATTTCATATTCTAACATGCTTTATATATAAATAAGGTAAAACATAAGAATATTCAACACATGTTGAAATTAATAAACATACAATTCAACTCCCTAGCACATCTGGTTAAGCTACAGAAAGCAAGAGGAAACTTTGTTTTATGGATTGATTGTTTTTCCTGTGGGAAAATAACAGGAATGTTAGCAGACAGCTTCATGAGCTGTGATCCAGAGAGAGTAGTTCCCCATCAACCCCAGGAGGCCTGACTGTGTTTGCTTGGTCATCAAAGACTGGAACATTCTGAGAGGACACAATGTGCTTTAATACAGTGTTGAAGGAGGTAGTAAATTCTAGGACTCTCTGAATTATTTCTATGTAACCACAAACAATTTGATGTTTTACTACAAAAAAGGAGGGCATTCTATTTTGATTAAATCAGAATGGTTCTTCATTCCAGGGAGTATTTTACTTCCTGTGTCTTTAATGTCTGCTTAATAAAATCACACATTCAATTATTTAAAACAGCCAAGAACCAATAAGGGATTTGCTGACCTGGCGCTTAAAACTTAAAAATCTAATTTGCCTTTCCTTCACTGCTAGCAGATCAGACCCAGGTTGAGGGGGATGGAAACTATTGGACATTGTAGAATCATTTTGAAGAGCTGAGACTTGGTTCACTGAATCTCATCTATACCTGAAAAGAATGAATTTCATTATTGATGTTATCACAATTGACATTTCACCAGGTTTTCATCTATTCTATCCCCAGATTCATTACCTTTTTCAAATTGTTAATGTACTAATCTACTGAGTTCTGGTGATTTCCACTGTGATTTTTATCTGTACAAGAATTTTCACAAATAGTGAAAGTTAACCTATCACCAGCTGTTAGACTAGCCTGGAAGGACAAGCTGGGAGATTTGCTGGAGTATTTGTACCTTCTTTAAAGATGCTATGCTTTCCTAAAACAATAACATGCATTTTACTTAAAGAAAATAGTTTTATAATTACTGAAGACACTTAGACTTTTCCAAGCAAAGATGGAAGAATAGGACATTGACCATTTTTCCCACAATCAAATTTGTATTCAGTGTTTAAGACATAACCTTTTAATTGTACAGAGAAGTATGCTGATTATTCATTTTTCCTTTATTGTTAATTTTAACACCAAAACAGTATTTTATTTTCATTTTCTGTAAACATATAAGTCATTTGCTATTTCTACATATAACTTGATATTTCTGAAGTTGACTTTAAATATAAGTACTTTGTTATATCTAAGTACAATTTGATTTTTCTGAAATATTAAAGGAAGTTTGTTTCACCTAGACTCATTATATCAGAAGGGATAGTTCAACTAAACTCTGTCCCAGTGATGTGGATAGTCACAGTCACATGGTGTATAATTAAAGCAAAAATGCTGTATAGCAATTCTGTTCCTCATAATTATTAATATGTTCAATTACCATGGAGTGCTACTAACAGCTCTTAAAATAATCAGCCTGGATTTCAGGAGAAATATTGGATAGGGAAACTGCACTATTTACAAAGTGATCAAGATAACAAGATGCTGGCTCAGGAAATATGATTTATAAAGTAATTATTATTCTTACTAGTTGCACGACCATCACATTTCTTAGCAAATTACAATTTTTTTTTCTTTTTTCTCATCACAAATTACTTATGATCCTACATGCAGAACTCTATTCCCGTGCCCTGTGTTTTCGCCAAATTAAGCACATTATAAATTATTTGAAGCAAGTACTTTTTAAAAAATTCATTTTTGCCTTTCTGTCAGCTATTATTTACACCTTCTTTTACTATTCTTTTAGTAGTCATTCTATCTATACTTGTGATTCTCAAAATGTGGCTCTCAGACCAGCAGCATCAGCTGCATCAGTGCATCAACATACCTAGAAACTTGTTGGGAATGCAAATTATCTGGCCCTGGTCCAGACCTATTGCATCAGAAACTCTGGAGATGGAGCCCAGAAGTCTTTAAGCCCTGCATGTGAGTATAACTCATACTGAAGTTTGAGAATCACTCAAACACTATACCACACTTTCTGTTCCCTCTCCTCATTTTATCCTATATGCTGTATGTTCCTTCCTTGTTGCCTGGTAAAAACAGCATTTTTTTCTTGTCCCATCTAAAATGCCGTCCTTGGTTTCTCCCTTATCAGAATTCCCTTAGAATAAAAAGTATATATTAAAAATTATAAGGCATATATCTATGAAACCTTGCTTTGTAGTTGTTTGGTAACATCTATTATCTCCTCTCCAATGATACAAGTCCCAGAAACAAGGCACTATGTCCTTATATTCTATTGGCATGTAGCCCAGTAGCTGGTGTTCAGTCAATAACTGACTGCCTGCCAAATCTTGTCTCTAACACATACCCTCTACCACTACAGACTTAGTTTTGCCTCTGAAACTTTTTCAATACTGATTCACCTCTTTGCAATATTTTTCACTATCTCTGTGCTACATAATTCTTATTAAGCTCCAATTCGCTCTCTCTTCTCTCAAGAACTTCCCAAAGTTTGTCTGAATTTCTGCTTCTAGCTAGGAGATGAATCCACCCATCAAAAACAACAGAAAAAGATGGATAAAGTAATTAAAATAAATTGTTTTAAGGCATCAGAGAAATATTAAGGTATCTGAATAGAGGGGTTACATCTCAGAGAAAGGAAAAATGTTGTGCTAAGTGAATGGAACATACTACCCTGTCTTTTTCTGAGAGATTCACTGATGCCTAAGAGTCATGACTCAAAAGGTTGAGATGCTGTGTAGTAAGTTGCTACTACGAAGCTAAGAAGTTCAAAACAGCTTTTTGACAGTCTCGTGCATTTGTGCAGATTTTTTTTTAAATGAAGCTCAGGGCTGCCTAAGCAGTTCACACTTGATGAGTCAAGATACAGGACAAGAAGCATGCATAGAAAAGTGATGTCGACATCCCAGACTTCTCTCATCCTCATCACATTTGCCAACCATAAGCAACATGGACTTATATATGAAGAAGTCAAGTTAAAGGGGGGTAATTAAGTAGTTAAGGAGATAATTGGAATTTCTGGCAGTCTTATAGGCTATAAACCTAAATGCTGGAGTTTTATTGACTAAGAAGAGGCACCCTGATAACCCAAGTTTTCATTTGGGGTCCCTGAAAGATTACATCATAGGAGTAAAAGTAAACCAGAGATAGATTAGAACTTACAAAAAAAAATTAAATTCAACTTTGAAATATTTTATATTCTATTTGATTAAGGTGACTTGTTCTCTGACTTTTAGACATGAAGACTCATCTAGAACTCCTAGAACTACTTTATTTAAAATAAGTGCATTAAAAATTACAAAACTAAAGACACAAAAAGATAACACTAATAGAAAAAAATAAGTAAAAGAAATAGTGTCCTTAAAAAGTAGTTATGATTAATATGTCTAAGAAAGCAGATGGCAAGATGGAGGATGTCACAGGTGAATAGAAATCTTTTTTTATTTTCCGTTTGAGACAGGGTCTCACTCTGTCACGCAGGCTGGAGTGCAGTGGCATGATCTTAGGTCACTGCAGCTTCCACCTCCAGGGTTCCAGGGATTCTCCCACCTCAGCCTCCTGAGTAGCTGGGATTACAGGCATGCACCACCACACCTGGCTAATTTTTATATATTTTATAGAAATGAGGTTTCACCATGTTGCACAGGCTGGTGTTGAACTCCTGGGCTCAGGTGATCTGCCTGCCTTGACCTCCCAAAGTGTGATTACAGGAGTGAGCCACTGTGCCTGATGAATAAATATTTTAAATAACAAATAAAAATTTGAGGCCAAAATATGCCATTAAAATTAAGAAAGTAAAGATTCTTGTAATACCAGATTTGACAAACCAAAGAGAAGATTCGTGACCTGTAATACAGAGAAATAGAACAGAGGAAAAAAAATGATCGGAAACACAGAGAAAAAATAAAATACACAAAAGAGCATTAGTGACATTTAGCATACAGTGAAGAGGCCTAATCTACATGACATTAAAGTACCAGAGGAAAGGAGAGAATGAAGTGAAAATAATTTTTGAAAAATGAAGAAAGAATTTTCCAAAAATAATAATAAACCGTTTAACTCAAAAACTAAAGAAGCTCTATAAACCTCAGTCAGGGTAAAGCTATGGAAAACAAAGACGGTGTTAAAATCTTAAAGCAGCCAGAGGAAAAGTTATCTTGCTACCAAAGGAGTAACCATAGGAATTATAGATTATTAGTCAACAGAAATGATGAATGCTGGAAGAAAATAAAAAGGCATTTCTAAAATCCTAAAACAAAGTAACTATAAGAGCAGAATTTGATGCCCTGCAGGATAATATTTTGAAAATTAAGAATAAATAAAGCTGTTTTCAGATAAAAATAAATAAATCTTATAGAAGTAATTGGAAACAGATCTACACTTAAATACTAACATATGGTCTTCCAGGAGGAGGAGATAATTCCAAAGGGAAGAACAGAAATGCAGAAAGGAATCAGCAGTAGCACAGTGGGAGGCTGAATCCCCCACTCCTGAATTGGATTTCAGTTTGGTTGCTCTCAGTGCACCACAATCCTCAAATTCTTCCAGGCATCCTCTCTGTAGGGGATGGGTTGGTAAAAGGTTATTCTCAAAGTTTCTGTTACACTGCGATTGGCCAAGACTTAGCTATCATTACAGGCACATATTCCTAAGTTTTTTTTTTTTTTTTTTTTTTTTTGAGATGGAGCCTCACTCTGTCGCCCAGGCTGGAGTGCAGTAGCACAATCTCGGCTCACTGCAAACTCCGCCTCCCGGGTTCACGCCATTCTCTTGCCTCAGCCTCCCCAGCAGCTGGCACTACAGGCACACGCCGCCACGCCCGGCTAATTCTTTGTATTTTTAGTAGAGATGGGGTTTCACCATGTTAGCCAGGATGGTCTCGATCTCCTGACCTTGTGACCCGCCCGCCTTGGCCTCCCAAAGTGCTGGGATTACAGGCATGAGACTGTAATTGAAAATTGGGTTTTCAATCTTGTTTACTTGTTAAACTAGGTTGCAGTTAGTCTACAAAGACTCAAATATAGAAGTACCGAGTCCTCCTTCCATATTTAGTTTGCTTTAACAGTGGGAAAATCCTGTCCTTACAGCTCAGCCTCAGTCTTAGTGCCCCTGAGTTTGTGTGGTGAAGCTTTTTCAGCAATCTTGTTCCTGTCCCAGGGTTAGAGTTTTATTCTTCATTTCTCCAACCACAACTGATCTTCACTAGTGTTCACACTTGGCCTTCAGTAATTTGATAAATGTCTTAGCTGAATTCTTTTCATCCACTTTCAAGGCGATTATATCTTGCTCTGTGCTATGTATGCCGTAGGTAATCAAGTGCTCATGTTTGTTTCTTCTTGGAGGCACCTATCTTTTCTCAGGTGTTAAGCTTGTTGGTTGCCCTGTTGTATGTTGTTATATATTATTATTATGACAATAATATCACTGCAAAAGGGAAAATACCATTAAGGAAACTGAGGTATTTTAAGATCCTTATAATGTCCAGAAATCAGTGTACCCATGCTTCTGCTATCTATAAGTCTAGATGAAATAAGCAGTAAAATACATTGATCAACATTCTGTCCAAAGGAAAAATATCCTTTCACTACTGTATTTTAGAGACACTCATGTTTGGGTTGTAGAACTCTACTAGACTAACTGAATTTCAGTTGGCACTGGCATATAATGCAAAATTATCCGTAGAGTATACCTGAGGGTTTTCTCTTTAATGATGATAAGCAACTCTTCATGATACTGTGAGAATAAATTAATGGAGCTAAGACAGTGCAACAGGGATCAATGTCTAGTAGCACGAGTCCCTTAATCATTAACATTACTTGCGTTTTCTGTGTCTACCTGAGCTCCATCTTTTACATACAATTCTTATGTGATGATTTCTAATGCTGTGCATGCCCAGCCTTAGAGGTTTGGCAGGTGAGAAAACACTCAGGTAATTGTGGGTATGGAGGGTGATAGAGTTTGGATGTGTGCCCCCAGTCAAATCTCATATTGAAATGTAATTCCAATGTTGAAGGTGGGGCCTGGTGGGAAGTGATTGGATTATGGTGGCAGATTTCTCATGAATGGTTTAGTACCATCCCCCTTGGTACTATTTTCACAATACTTAATGAAGTTGTTCTCTCTCTCTCTCTCTCTCTCTCTCTCTCTCTCTCTCTCTCTCTCTCTCTGTGTGTGTGTGTGTGTGTGTGAGAGAGAGAGAGAGAGAGAGAGAGAGAGATCGATAGATAGATATATGGTCATTTAAAAGTCCATAGTACCTCCTCTCTTGCTTAGTCCTGCTCTGGCCATGTGACATACCTGCTCTCCCTTTGCCTTCCACCATGACAGTGAGTTTCCTGAGGCCTCCCTAGAAACTGAGCAGGTGTTAGCATCATGCTTCCTGTATAGCCTGCAGAACCATGAGCCATTTAAATTGCTTCTTTTAATATAAGTTACACAGTCTCAGGTATTTTTTATAGCAATGTGGGAATAGACTAATACAGAGAGAAAAAACAAAGTAATGTGTACATCACTCCAAATGACTGCTCTGTTTAAAATGTTTGTGTAGTTAAAATATATGACAATAATACACAAGAGGATAGAGAAGGGATAAATAGAACTTAAGTTGTTTAACGTCCATATGTATTATATTAAACTCTAATAAGTCAAAGATACATATTTAATCTGTAGGGCAGTGATTTTCAAATTTCAGAGTTGTTTAGAATTACATGAAGGGCTTCTTCAAACAAAGAGTGCTATACACCACCCTCAAAGTTTCTCATTTAACTTTTTGAGTGGTGGGGTGCGGTCAAAAGTTTATATACCTGCTAAAAATTGCAGATGCCACTTTTTTGAGGAAGACACTTTGAACACTACCTCTGTAAGGTAAACTATTGAAGTAGTGGTAAAATAATATGTAGTGTATAGCTAGTAGAACAGAAAATACACACACACAAAAATAATAATAATAATAATAATAAAGCCGGGCGCGGTGGCTCACGCCTGTAATCCCAGCACTTTGGGAGGCCGAGGCGGGCGGATCACAAGGTCAGGAGATCGAGACCACGGTGAAACCCCGTCGCTACTAAAAAAAATACAAAAAATTAGCCGGGCGCGGTGGCGGGCGCCTGTAGTCCCAGCTACTCGGGAGGCTGAGGCAGGAGAATGGCGTGAACCCGGGAGGCGGAGCTTGCAGTGAGCCGAGATCGCGCCACTGCACTCCAGCCTGGGCGACAGAGCGAGACTCCGTCTCAAAAAAAAAAAAAAAAAAAAAAAAAAAAAAATAATAATAATAATAATAATAATAGGCCTGACTACGCCAAAGTGAGCAGGAAAGGAGAGATAAAAAGAATGTAATATGAGTGAGTCAAGGACAGATCAAATTGTGACAAGGTAAATTTAAATCCCTAGGAACTACATTTTATTTAGAAAGATTATTCTAATTAAAATGCAAAAATTATAATATTGAATAAATTATAAAATGAAATTTACAGAGATAAGGTACAAAAATGTTGAAAATAGATATAAAAAAGTTTTACCACACAAACATTAACCAAAGAAAACTGTGTGAATATGTTTATATCAGATGCCATAGTCATTAAGGCGTGATGCATTTATTGAAGATAAAAAGAGTGTTTTCATATTGATAAAAGGTCAGTATGTCCGGAGAACATAACAACTATAAATTTGTGTGCACATTATAAAGCCTACAGATACACAAATGATACATTGTCAGAACTAACTGGAAAATAGAAAAATCTAAAATCAGATTTGGAGGTGGGGCATGGTGGTTCACACCTATCATCCCAGGACTTTGGGAAGCCAAGGTGGGCAGATCACTTGAGTTCAGGAGTTCAAGACTAGCCTGGGCAGCATGAGGAAACGCGGTCTCTACCAAAAAAAAAAACAAAAACAAAATTAGCCAGGCATGATGGTGCATGGCATTGGTCCCAGCTAATTGGGAGGCGGAGGTGGGAGGAGGTTTCAGCCCAGGAAGCAGAGGTTGCAGTGAGCTGAGATTGCACCACTGCACACCAGCCTGGGTGAAAGAGTGAGACCCCATCTCTAATAGAAAAATAAAAATAAATAAGTAAAATCAGAGTTGGAGAGCTTAACAAGTAGTGTTTGACAGTACAAATAATCCAAAATATCAACAATGATTTAGAAGATCTGAAAAGCATGATTAGCAAACTTTACCATATATGAATAGAAACAATAAAACCTGTAACTACAGAATGCAGTATACATTGTTTTTAATTGAATACTTATCAAAACTAATTATGTGCTGGCCATTAATGAAGTTTCAACAGATTTTAGTGGATTGAAATGATATAAAAGTGTTATTATCTGGCTATTGTGAAACTGATCTAGAAATGGCTTTAAAAACCTAACTAGAGCATTGCAGTTTTTTCCTGGCTTATGGCTGCATAAGTTCAATCTGCTTCCTTCTTCACATGGTCTTCTCTCTGTCTTTTCTTCTGTCACATAAGGATACTTGTCATTGGATTTAGGAGCTCACCTGGATAACCTAAGATGACATCATTCTGAGATCCTTAATTACCTCTGTCCAAACAAAGTAACTTTTAAAGAGTTTATATATTAAGATATGAATGTATTTTGGGGAGTCATCCTTCAGCCACTGCAAAGATTATATAAAATTCTAGCAAGGCTGATGAAAAACAACCAAAAATAATAAGGCACATATTACCGACATCAGAAATGTTAAAGAAGATATCATTGCAGATCCATAAAATATTACAAAAATAAGAAGAGGATATTATTAACTACTATATGCTGATATTTGAAAAGTTTAATGAAGTGGAAAAAATTCTTTGGAAAACATTACTTACCCAAACTGGTACAACTTATACAAAAAGAAATTGAAATCTGTTTAGTCCTATATCTTTGGGGACATTTAATTTTGTGACTAAAATCTCTAACAAAAAGAAATCTCCAAGTGCTTGTGGCTTCAGGGACCATTTTCCCCCCAAATATTTAATGAAAGAAATAGTTCTAACCTTACTCAAATACACATAGATATTAGAAAAAGTAGGAAACAGCTCTTGTTTTGTGAGGCCAGCATACTCTTTTTTTTTTTTTTTTTTCTGAGATGGAGCCTGGCTCTGTCGCCCAGGCTGGAGTGCAGTGGCACGATCTCGGCTCACTGAAAGCTCTGCTTCCCGGGTTCACGCCATCCTCTTGCCTCAGCCTCCTGTGTACCTGGGACTACAGGCGCCCGCCGCCACCCCTAGCTAATTTTTGTATTTTTAGTAGAGACGGGGTTTCACCGTGTTAGCCAGGATGGTCTTGATCGCCTGACTTCGTGATCCGCCCGCCTCAGCCTCCCAAAGTGCTGGGATTACAGGCGTGAGCCACTGCGCCCGGCCAACGTACTCTTTTTTTTTTTTTTTTTTTTTTTTTGAGACGGAGTCTCACGCTGTTGCCCAGGCTGGAGTGCAGTGGTGCGATCTCGGCTCACTGCAAGCTCCGCCTCCCGAGTTCACGCCGTTCTCCTGCCTCAGCCTCCCGAGTAGCCTGGGCTACAGGCACCCGCCACCACGCCCGGCTAATTTTCTGTAGTTTTAGTAGAGGCAGGGTTGCACTGTGTTTGCCAGGAGGGTCTTGATCTCCTGACCTCGTGATCCACCTGCCTCGGCCTCCCAAAGTGCTGGGATTACAGGTGTGAGCCACCGCGCCCGGCCGAGCATACTCCTACTGATAGTATTATTGCAAAAAGATACTTACTTGACAGTTTTTTCCCATGATAAAAGATGTAAAAAACCGCAACAGAATATTAAGAAATTGAATCTGTGTATGTATTAAAAGGATAATGAATAATGTCTGACTTCACTATATTCCAAACTATATTACAGAATGCAATTACTTAACATTCAAACAACAATCAATAACATTCATAGCTTTTAGAAACAAAGTAGAAAATTCCTATGGTCATCTCACCAGGTATAGAAAGTGATAATATTCAATACTTATTAGTGTTGAACAAATTGGATATAAAAGCAAACTTTCTGATAAAGAGTATCTACAAAATATCTATAGCAAACATCTTTTGAATGGAAATATTAAAAGATTTACCACAGAGATTAGGTAGGTAGCAAAAATATTTGCTCTCATTGTTCCTTGTTCAACTTTATCCTGGAGGCCCTAGCCAATACAATAAGATAAAAAAGTAAACTAAGGCATAAAGATTGAAAAGAGCAAAAATTGTCATTATTTACCAATGAAAGTTTTGTACACATGTGTCATGAACTTATGTTCTCCCCAAATTCATGTATTGAAGCCCTGATCCCCGACGTAACTATATTTGGTGATAGGAGCTTTGAGAAGGTAATTAAGATTCAATAATGAGGTCATAATGGTGGGGCCCTGAGGAAGAGACACCAGAGTCATGTGTTCTCTCTCTCTCTCTCTCTCTCTCCCTCTCGCATATTGTCCCTTTATTGAACCTTCCTCAAATTATTCTAAACTGTATGAGCCATATGTTTCCCAATAGGATACTAGCTAATAAATTATTAAGCACTTATTCCTTGCCAGGCACTTTGTTAAGAGCTTAATTTCATTATGTAATTTAAACCTGTTAAAATAACTCTTGTGAGGTAGAATTATTATCACTCCTTTTTTACAAAACAGGCAGCCAGTATTGAAGTTTGGAGACTTTACAAAGTTCACACAGCTAACGAGAAGCAGACAGCCCTAGGACTTGAATTCAGTGCTATTGGTGAGAGCCTCTAGAACTGAATATCGTAACCATTCTCAATAATCTTTGTTTTATACAAAAATATTAATAATACCTTATTATCTTGGTGCTTAGATTAAAAAACAATTCTTAACAATGACTTCATTTAATTATTACCCTAACAGTAGATCTGAAAGTATTGTCCTATTATTACAGATAAATAAATAGAGGCCAATGCAATTTAAATGACTTTCTCAAAAATACTAGAGGATACAATTTAATCCAGCCAAGTATCATGCCTCTGGATTCCATATTACATATAACTGTATAATCATCCTTTATCAAATACATATACTCATCTATTTTAAATGATACTTGGAATGGTACTTATCATACTTATACCACTGTGTTATCATCTGGGTATAGTAGTGTGATGAAAATGTGGTTGATATTATGTGTTCAAGATAGAGAAGTAGAGGGTTAGGAGAAAAAGCTGTGGCTGAAAAAAACAAACTTTTTAGCCTCCTTTCCTGGTCCTAGAGTATTACAAATTAATTGATTCAAACCAAATATGAGAAGTAGAAATGAAATATCCTTCCATGCTGCTGGGAGTTGATTGATGAGGAGCAATGTCTCAGCCAAGTTACCAACTGATTTCTGTCTAACCTTTGGCTTCCTATAGTTCACTAAGTCCTAAGCCAAGAGTCATCCAAGAGAGCGGCTGGAGACCACAGATACTCTGAATTCCAACTTTAATTGGCCTTCTGAGAAGACAGAGAGCCACAGGTCCCCAACAGATACTAACTACTTCCTTCAGCCCCAAGGCAGGGCACTCTATGGATTCCAATGAAAGCTCCTCCTGTTTGTCCATGAACACATTTTATGTTACCAGGTTCATGTTGTGGGCACAGATGCTCGTAGTTGCCTCTTCCACATTTAGAGAATGTATATTTTAGGAAGATCTGTTAAAAACAAATATACAAATCCCTAATCTTACTTGTTTTGTTCAGGCTAAAGATGGTACTTTTTTAAAAAAACTGACTTAAGACAAAACCTCAGGTTATATGTGAGTGTGGTGTGTGAATGCGTGTGTATGTGCATGTACCTATGTGTATTTAAATTCTTTATCTTTGATCATATCCTCCCTACCAGACCCATTTTTCCTGGGATTTGGGTGGAGTGGAAGGAGTGAGGAGAGCATCTGGTTTGAGCAGCCATTTGCAAAGATGACATTCTACCCAACCACATGACAAGCAGTCCTTTGTCATGTGTCCATACCAATAACTAATGAGGAAAACACGTTTGTGTGTTAGTTTAAATCCTGGAATGGATCAGTTCAATCACAGTAGATAGCTGTAACATCAACATTGTATCTCCCACCATGTGTGAGAAGTAAATGAATGTCAATTTTGGATTCCAAAAAAAAAAAAAAAGCTAGAAACATTGTACTCTTGTCTCTAGAGAGGTCTTCTTTCCAGGACTTACTAAAATGCTATATTTATACCTATTTCTATTGAGTTTATATATTTTCAGTGGAACTTGCCAGTTGGCCCATCAAAAAGTCCAACAGCTTGTCGGCCTGCCAGCTGATTAGCCAGGCAAAAATTCAGGTAGTTCAGGCACAGGAGGCTCAGTCTGTATCTGGGTGAAGCATAACAAATATGACTGGACAGATCTGGACACAGGCTTAATGAATCTGGGTCACTGGGTCCCAATATGTTAAGAGCAAACGCTGGTATTCTATAGGATATACTGAGATATCTCGTATTTAAGTTATCACAAAGTCGGCATTTCTCCAATTCCCAGAAAAGACTAAAAGTGACAATGATTTATTTATTAACTTAAGCTTTTGTTCTACACATTTTTAAACCAAACCATTAATACCTATACCTCTTATGTGCTAATAAAAGGGCTCATTGAAGACATAACAAATTAACCAGTAACTGTATATTTATTGGAAAAAGCTAGGAAATTGCTAATTTTGTTTGACAGCTTATTTTGTGAATACACATTTATAGTTGCTCTTTAATATGTATTAACTACATCATCGTAGGTATGGTTGAGGTTTTCTTCTAGAAACTACATGATGAGGGAGTTCTGAGGAAGGTAATTGTCCTACTCTAGGATGGGGAAATTGAGGCCTTTTTCCATAGAGGAGATAGCTCTGGAGCCAGATCTAAAAGGATTGTCAGGATTTTGGGAACTAGAGAGGAGGGTTGACAGCAGGAATCCAGGTAGGAGAATAAAACTGTGCCTGTCATATATGGAAGTCTACTCAAGCTAAAATGTCTGGAGTGGAAGGCTCGTTGCAGGTGGTGAGCAATAAGAATAAACTGTTTGCTGAATTCTTGTGTAAGACATCTCTACATGATTTTGAATCTTGTTACTATGGGGCCCTCAGCTATTTGCCTCCTGACATCAGTACATATTTAAACTGTTTGATATCTTCAGTGAGTGTCTTTGGCTAAGAGGCCAAAACCCAAATGTTCTTCATTAATGCAAAAGCCAGACATCATCCACTATGATGACCTTGCCAGTCCTCTGGACCTTGGGACCATACTAGCTGGCATCTGAGCCTGAGATCAACTTTCTAGCTAAACTGCCAACATACTTGACCAAACTACACTTTCAAAATCACAAGATATAAGAAGTCTGAAGATGGCACTTTCCGAGCTTCAGAATTTCAGGAATATTCATAAAATCTCTGCCTACTACAAACCATTCTCTCCATCAATTGAAATAAGTAACGAATTCAAATTTCTCCTTTGAGGGTATTGTGAAAATGTACATCTGCTTGCCTGCTACTTTGCCCAGCTGACCATTAATAGATGAGTTTCCTTCCAATCTATCATGATATGAAAGGTCATCAACCCTGAAATTTCAAAAGCAGGGGCTTCCTGGCAAGAGATTTATTGGTGGAAAAATTGAAGAAACCAACATGCACACTGACATTATACAGTGGCATGGACATAATACAAATTTACCCTTGTTTTTTATAATTTTATTCCATAATATTACCGTTGTTTTGTAATAGTGACCCAGATGGTAAGCATTTTGCATAGAAAGAGGATGGAAACATCTTCTGATAAGACTTGAATCAAGTCAAGGCCTCATTTTCTTTCCTTTTATGAAATTGTAGCTATATATATGTTTCCCCTCTCTCTTTTAAGGTGTGGAAGGCTCCTTGAAGGCTCAGTGAAGTTTCCATTCTCTTTGCACTAAAACTCCTGTTTTAATTTTTAGCACAGCTATCATAGTGCACTGAAATATCCACTTATTTGCCTACCTGCCCCTTGGGGGAAGGAACCTAGTTTATTGATGATTATGCTGCCCTTGGAATAAAACTGAATTTTTCATTAGAATGGCAAGGCATGCCTGATTAGACTCCTGCTACTTCTACCACCTCATCGGCGCTTTCTCATTTGCTTGGTACTTTAATTTACACTGGCCTTATTCAAGATCCTTGAACTTTTCAAAGACTTTATTGTTGTTGTTGTTTGAAATTCTGTTCAATTTACCAAAAATTCTGTATTCTGAAGGAGTATCTTAATAACTGCAGAATGCAAGTATGTAACAATGAAAGTGTTGATAGTAATCATAACAATGATGATGATATTTCTAGGTTATGATTTTGTGCAAGTCAGTGTGCTAGGTTTTCCACTGGATTTCCTCATTAATTCCTTATATCAACCTTATGATGTAGATATAGATATTATTATCTTAATTTATAGATGAGAGAACTGAAGCATAAAGAGAATAAGGCAGGTTCTGAAGGACATACAGTTAGTGCTGAAACTGTGTGTCAAACTTAAGAAGTCTACCTCTAGAAAGTTGTTCTCAAACCATTCTCCTATAGTGCCTCTTACAGTATAGGCCTATCTGGGCTTTAGAAAATGCCTTGGTCTACTCAAGGCTCTAATCTATACGAAGTGTCTTTCCTGAAGTGGAGGTGAATGATAAATCTTTCTATCAATCTGTCATGGGTAAAACTCCTGCATATGATGGGAGGCTGAGTCCAAACCAGCTTACTGTTTTCTACACAGGGCATATGGGTCTGTGTGTTAAGAACTGCCTGCAGAATCTCTTTGTCTGCCTCTCATTACTTTCTCAACCATAAGAACTTGCTCAGTCTTCCTGATACGAAGTGTTTCATCTTTAATTTTGACTAAAATTTTGTCTAGTCTCTCTTTTGGTTAAGTGCTTTTTCTGACTATTTTTTCTATATTTTCTAACCTCTTGTTCTGAAGTTTTGGGCTAACTTCCCATACATATAGTCACTTAATTCTAAATCCTAAAATCCCTGTCTAAGTCTGATTTTCCAGATCTTTGCTTGTGCAGGATGAAAATAAAGGTATTATAAACAATTACATATGTTTGTCATTTTCAACAGGGTTGTTCTACCAAGTTCTAGAGTGCATTCACATTTGAGCTCCAACATAATTAGTGTTAAAATGGACAGTTTTCTTCAATGGTTTTCTTCATAACCAGATAGGATAGTTTGCACTGTGACATTTCTCACATCACTCTATGAAAAAGAAGCAGAATTGGATCATGGTTAAAAGCATGTGTTTTGCAATAGGAAAGACATGGATTTGAAGGCAAGCTTTGCAGTTGGTAACTACAT